GCGACCATCTACGTATGGTAGGGGGCCGGGGGCCGGGGCGGCCGCGGAGCCCGAGCCGCTGCGCCGCCTGGAGATCGTCTTCGTGTCCTCGGACCAGGACCAGCGGCAGTGGCAGGACTTCGTGCGGGACATGCCGTGGCTGGCGCTGCCCTACAAGGAGAAGCACAGGAAGGTGAGCTGCGCGGGCCTCGTTGGCGCCCCTGGCCTCGGTGCGCAGCCCGCGCGTTCGGGGAAGCGGGGTGTTCGCCGGCCCCACCCGCAACACGCGGCCCCTCGGCCCCGCTCCTGTATCTTTGCACACGCTTCCCCTCGTGTCCCTTAGTGTCGCCTTCCTCTGTCTATGTCCGCCTCCGTCCCAGGATCCCGCCGGGTTGGGGCTCCCGCGGCAACTCCTCGGTGCGGGTGCCAGGCCGCGCCCGTGGGGGAAGTTTGACACCCCCAGGCCCCCGATCCCGGCTTCTGTCCCGAGGAGCCAAGAGCCAGATCCCCACGCGTCGGGAGCCTTGCTTAGTGGGCGGCTGCGCCGGGGGTCCCGACCCCGTGACCCCCAATCTCCGCCGTGGGCGCAGGGAGGGGCTGTTTCCTTCCCTCAGCCTCCAGACTCCCGGCGGATACCTGTAGTGGTGGGGGGTTGGCGCTCGCCCCCTACCCATAATGCCCAAACCAGGAAGTTTCCTTTCTCTGAGAGGAATCTTCTTTTCAGGGGACCCCTTCCCCCGTGACCCGGGACTCCGAGGCCAGGCCGCCCCGTGCCCCGGAGAGGCAGCCGCTGACCGTGGCTTTGGGTGAGAAGGGCGCTCACTCCTCTCCCCTTCTCCCTCCTCCCTCCTCCCTCCGCCCCCGCGGGCTCGACTAGTGGCCACCGGGGAGCTTTTCATTGTCTGCCTGTCCAGCAGTCCTCCCCAGATGCCTCTCAGGCACAGGAACAGACCCGTCTTTGCAGGTCTTAGTTGCTTGGTCGGTGGGCCACTGTCGTCTTGGCACACTTCGAAAATAAATGCTGAACTGATCCCTTAGGTTAACTGGAAAAACGAGGCTTTGGGGAAATTTATACTTCGCTGTCAACTACTCATTCCCAGCATTTTGCTGCTGAAATTAGTTTGGGTTTTTGAGTGCATCTGTTGGATGAAGCTGTCTGTTTTAATAAAAGGGATTCAGGAAATCTTGTCATAAATCGAAGCAGGAAAAGTTTTGGAGCGTTCTTGCTTAATTTGTATGCGTGATGAAACGTGTGAATCCTGCACCTTCCCTTTCTGAGGAGAATCTTAGTTTATGGAGTGGACAGGAGAAGAAAGGCTGTTCTGGGGATCTGGAGGTGCCCCTGGGGAGGATGGTAACGGCATGCCATGTGTTTCTTTTATGTCTACAGAGTCTTGTTGAGAAGCATGATTTAGATTTAGTAAGACCAAAAGGCTTTATATTGTGACCCCAAATGTCTCGAGTAAATCATCTCCAAATAGTGTAAGGTGCGGATTTAGGATTTAAAGCATGAAATACAGTTTAACAAATACAGTTTGTAAACTTCGCATTGGAAAAACATGAGCTCACTAACCACACAGAGGCAAAACTTGGCATTTTAACCACTTTTTAGGTGATCTTGCTCATAGTTAGGTTATATACTTGATAGTGCATGAATATGAATGGCCAATCCTTTTTTACTTTAAAAATATGGGAATTCTTTGTGTTCCTTGGTGGTTGTTTTTATGATCCTTTTGGGGAGAAATAATATTCAGAAAGTGATTTACCAAAAAATATTTTTATTGTTATGGCAAGTTTCTATCGTATATACCAGTGTGTGTAAAATAACGTCCTTATTGGGCAATCCACGTGATTTCTAGCTCATGCGAACATGATGGGAAACTGTTATAGACCTGAGGCCTGTTGTTTTTTTTCACAGTGGAGGAAGTAAATTTGCTGGATGGTAAAAACATGGAGCAGATTGCGATGTTTTCCAAATACTTAAAGCTTTTTCTTGAAAAAGGAGACTATTTCATATGCTATATGCCATGCCTGGTTCTGTCTGCCGGGGCTAATCCCCTGCGCACACACAAAAAGTGGCCCTAGTCTGGACCTGCCGATTCCACCAGGATGAGAGTCTGGATGACATAGGGCAGACCCTCATTTGAAAATACAGTTCAGGGGGCGCCTGGGTGGCGCAGTCGGTTAAGCGTCCGACTTCAGCCAGGTCACGATCTCGCGGTCCGTGAGTTCGAGCCCCGCGTCGGGCTCTGGGCTGATGGCTCAGAGCCTGGAGCCTGTTTCTGATTCTGTGTCTTCCTCTCTCTCTGCCCCTCGCCCGTTCATGCTCTGTCTCTCTCTGTCCCAAAAATAAATAAACGTTGAAAAAAAATTAAAAAAAAAAAAAAAAGAAAATACAGTTCAGAATGCTGAACATGCCCAAACCATGGTGCATAGCATCTTAAACATTTATTTTTCGCTCGGAGTTTTTCTGTCTCGCATCCTCTGGTTCACTTTGTTGTGTAAAACAAATCCAGTTTTTGAAGAGGTAGTTTCTACTCCTGGATGTTCATGAATAGGCAACTCAAGGTCTGTCTGATCCCGGAAACCATCCGGAGTGATATGCCAGGTAAAAAGACTCCAGCTGTGTTTTTTATGGAAAACATATTTTCAGAAATGACAACAGCTATGTACTCCCTCTGAAAGGAATTATTTTCTCCCTTGAAACCAAAGAAAGTAAACAGTTCCCTTTTTTGTAAGGTTGAGTTTTTGTCTCAATGTCTGAAACTGAGATGCTTAGAAGTCTGTGAGCTTGTAATGGCAGTTTCGTGATAAAAACAGGGAAAAGCCCAGGGCATCCCCAGTTCAGGGTGCTGAGCGGTGAACGCTTACCTTTTTGCTGATGGCCCCTGTCCATGTTGTTTTGCCAACTATAATAGTTTCAAAGAATAGAATTTTGTTTTACACTGAAGGGCAAACCAGAGTTCCAGATTACTAAGTTTTTTAAAGTTCTCGTTAACATTTGTTCCTTCAAACCATTCATATACTTCTTCCCACTGGGATAACAAAGGATATGGTTCTAATTAGTTATTGGCTGGCATTTCTCTAAAGAAAATTGAAAGATTATGGTGGGGAAAGAAAATGCCGTGTGGTATTTTTTTCTTCTTTTATTAATTTCCCCTTTATGTAGTAAGAAAGTCTGGGGATGACCATATATGTTAGGCTTGCATGTTGCCTGGCTCTGCTCACCTTGACTGAAGCTGTGAGAAAACAGCAAATAAAAGGACTCCAGCATCTTTAAACAAAAACAAACAAACAAAAAAAATGCTTTATGGAAGGTTGTCCTGTTTCTGCTTGCTTTTGTGGTAGGTGCAAAAATAACTGAAGCTTCATTTTTTTGGCTTCCAAGCACACACATGTAAATAGCTGTATAGAAATTGTAATTAAATGATAATAGAACTTTGACTGCCTTTATAAGAGCAGTTTTGTCAGGAAACCTATAATCTTGAAGTCAAGGCAGTTGGACTTGTTTTAATAAGTAGGTTTGCTTTTCCTTTTGTTGGGAGACATTTTTCAGATTTCCGGAGAGAGAGAATGAAATGAATAGTTGGAAAGTGGTGATGATTCGGACTTTGGGAATTTGATGTGTTCCTTCCGGTGGGGATAACTTACTTTGCTGGCCGAACAGGAGAGTGGATCCCCAGGATCTTCTGCTTCAGCATCAGAGAGGGCAGCACGGAGTTTGGTTTTAAAGCCACTGGACTTCATTTTGCCTGGGCTGGATACCTGGTGAAATACATTTGGTCAGTGTGGGTGCACTGACATCAAATGGTGCAGGACCACTGGTCTTAGACAGGTTTGCCTGGGTCTGGCTTGGCCCTAGACCTTCCTGCCAGACAGAAAGGAAAAGAGAAAGTTGGGGCCGATGAGTGGCAGTCAGGAGGCTCTGGTCCAGTCTACCTGCTCCGGTCTGCCTGCTCCAGTCAGGGGAAGGGGAATCTTCCTGTTTCCCTGTCTGGGTTGTTTGCTCTGGGTGGTTCTTTTGGTTCAGACTAAATCAGAGGTGTGGCCTAGAATTCGCTGGAATCCCTTTGGCTCTTTGGAATGGGGCAAGGTTTGGTACCAACCCAGGCAATCTTTTTTATCTTTGAGAGAGAGACAAAGAGACAGAGTGTGAGCCAGGGAGGGGCAGAGAGAGAGGGGGGCACAGAATCCGAAGCAGGCTCCAGGCTCTGAGCTGTCAGCACAGAGCCCGACACGGGGCCTGAACTCACAAGCTGTGAGATCATGATCTGCGCCGAATTGGATGCCTAACTGACTGAGCCACCCAGGCGCTTCCCCCTGCCCTCCAACCCAAGCAGTTTTATAGCTCCATCTCTCCCAGCTCATCTTCCCTCAAATCCCGATACCCTGACCACTAAGAGAATAACTTCTAGGACATTGACCACTTTCATGGTGCTAAAAGCGGAAAAAGCACAGCTTTGAAGATGGGGTTTTCTGCCTTCTGCAAAAGGAGCCTGGATCAGCCAGGACAGGCTCCCTCTGTTCACTTTGTTTCCAGGACTTGGATCTGTCTAATAAAAGACAACAGTCCAATTAAAGTAATAAAAGCAATTTTCCTTGAGAGGCTTTTTCCTTGCTCCATTATTTGTAATGTGCTTTTTAATCTTTCATTTTTCTCTGCATAATGAAGACGTCTAGTATATAGTAGGTAAACATAGGGACTGATGTCCACCTGCCTGAGTTCAGATCCTGGCTCTGTCATTTGATAGCTGTGTGACCTTGTGAAAGTTACCCTATGTGTCTGTGCCACAGGTTCCTTATCTGTAAAATGAGATGATAATAACATCTGCCTGGCAGATAGTATGTGCTCACTAAGTGCTAGCTATCGTTAAAAAATTCTCATGAAATCTAGTAATTCTTTCATCTCCTGAGACTTTGGAATATATCACATTACAGAATTGTGGTTACAAGGTATACTTTTTAACTTTTCAAACAAATGACTTCTAAGTGTACAGGGGGGTATGGTGAAGGAGTTGAAAGAATTGCCCTAGAAGAGATTATAATTGAGGAGAAAGACCTGGAAGAATGAAGCAATGAAAGCAAATGAATATTTAGAAAATACTATTCTTGGGGTTCCTGGGTGGCTTATTAAGTGTCCAACTCTTGATTTCGGTTCAGGTCATGATCTCACAGTTCATGGGGTTGAACCCT